TCATGCTGCATTGAATACTCAACAAAGAGGAAAGAGACACTACGAAGAGACACTACGCTAAGACTGAAGATGGAGTGGATAAATGATGTTACCTAGCATGCTTGGGAAACATTTAGCAACAGCCTAGGACTGGAGACCTTTTGGATTTATGGCAGCCTCTCCAAAAACACACAGAAAATTCTCCTGCTTGATACAACTTTCAAAACCTTAAAAGTATCTGTGAGAACTGTTCAGCTGTTTCTACTTTTCAATTTTTACTTATACCTAGTGGGACAGAAACAATGGCATAAACACAATATTATTATGAATCGTAGGTATTCACACTGATCCATAAATGCTATTGGCCTATACAATTAGTTTATACAGATTGCTACACTGAGACTTATTCAGGAAGTTGTGCTGTCAAGGCACCCTGAGAAATTCTGGATGCATTGTAATCACATAAAAGAGGTGCCAGATGTACAACATAAGAGAATACTCAGGATACTGTACAGCAATTATTTTGGAATAGATTTTTTAACCTAGAGAACATTGGATCACATGCCTGTAGTCCAACTGTTACAGATTAACTATTATTACAAAAACACTTATTTCATATAATATTGGATATTTAAAAAAAATCTTGTTCATGAGTTTTGTTTTCACTGAGCTGTTATTCATTCTTATTAATGTTCTTTATAAGTTAAATACATGATCACTGCAATTGATTTAAGGTTTGTCTCCTATTAAGTTGTTTGGTACTGAGGCACGTCTGCATAATTACATTATGTCAAAGCTTTCTGTAGACTGTAAACAAATTAAAAGTGATGGAATAGATAAAATGGAATCTGTATCAAAATCACTTTGAGGGAGAAAGGTAATAAAAGCTCTTCTGGGAGAGTGCTAGGGTATGCTACAGAGTTCCAGGAGTGGATCCAGACGTGGACAGAGATCTCTAGTATTTTTAATTAAATAAATACTACTTAGAATTGTGTGATAATGGGAGATTTTAATTTCCCAGATAAAGATCGGAGGACAATTTCTACAATTGTGGGGCCTAGATTTCCTGGATATGATAGCTGAATAATTTCCTTACTAAACAGCCACCAAATCAACAAGAGATGATGCCATTTTAGATTTAATATTGGTAAGTATCAACGATCTCATTGGAGAACTGGTTGCCATGGTCAACCTGGGTTTGAGTGATCATGGACTAATTCAGTTTAAATGTAAGGATTTAAAAATTGGTGTGCAATTAGGATTCCTGATTTCAAAAACAAACTTAGCTATCTCTTGGAGATCAAAAATTGTAAGAGAAAATGAGACTTGCTAAAAGCCAAGCAGGGTTGGATCTTGCAAAAGAAATTAAAACCAATAGCAAAAGGTTCGTTAGCCATATAAACAAAACAAGGAAGGAAGGAAGTGGGACTGGTAAACAGGGTGGATATTAGATAATCTAGGGATAAGGTGGAGAGTATATAGTCTAGGCATGGTTCAGCACCTACACAAATACTTTGATTCAGTTTTTAATAAGAGTAATGAGGAGGTTAGGAGTAATGGCAGGGTGGTTAATGGGATATGGAGGGAGAAATTACCATATCTAGATGGAAGTTAAATTCAAACAGCTTAATGGGACAAAACTGGGGAGGGCCCAGATAATATCCATTGAGGAGGACCAGAATACAGTAACAGCTGCCAGTTGCAACCACTCATTGCAATTAGCAAAAGGGGTCATTTATAAGCGGTGGTCTCTCTTCAAGGGCTTGCTTCCTCCAGAGCTGGGCAGACTGAGAATGATGGCTGTTGGTCAAAGGCACAGTTCTGAAGGCAATGCCATTGTCAGCTGCAGCACAGAAGTAAGGAAGATCATTTCTCCTTCAGATTTGTTTTTATGGCTAGGTGTAAGAAAATATGGATGCTGGTCACAGGTGACAAGTGGTCCCTCTTCAAAGTTAAATCAGGGGGAACACATGCTGTGGCCTCTGCGGGGAGTCACTTGTCACAGATGGTCTCTCTTCAGAAGTGGTCACTAAGGCATATTTTACTGTATCACACAAGAAGGTCTGGATACTGTAAAAACTGGACAAACAAATTGGATGAAATTAAATAGTGCAAATTCAAGCACTTAGGGACCAACAATGAGAATTTTTGCTAGAAATTGGGGACCTATGAGTTGGAAGGGAGAGAAGAAAAAGCTGGGGGTACTGGCTGGTCACAGGATAGCTATGAGCCACCAATGTGATGTGTCCATGAAAAAGGCTAATGCAAACCTAGGATGCATCAGGCAAGGTATTTCCAGTCGAGACAGGAAAGCATTACTGTCATTATAAAAAGCACTGGTGAGACCTCATCTGGAATTCAGTATGCAATTCTGGTCTCCCATGTTTAAGAAAGATGAATTCAAATTGAGGAGAAGAGAAGAAGGACTATTGGAATGATCAAAAGAATGAGAACCCACCTTAAGGGAGAAGACTTTAGAAACATGTCTTGTTTAACCTAAACAAATGAAGGCTGCTTTCTGTAAATACAGCAGAATGATAAACACCAGGGAGGGAGAAGAGTTAGATAAGTTAAGGGTCAGCGTGGGCAAAAGAAAGAGGGATATAAATTATCCAAAAACTAGTACAGGCTTCAAATTAGGTGAAGGTTTCTAACCATCAGAGGAGAGAAGTTCTGGAACAGCCTTCAAAGGGTCCAAACATCTACCTGGTTTCAAGACTTACCTGGCTAAATTTATGCATGGGATGGGATGAAAAGATTGCCTATCTTGGCATGTGGCCCATTTGTGATTGCTAGTAGCAAGTATCTCCAAATGGCCAGAGAGAAGAATTAGTACAATGAATTCTTTCCCAAGTGTCTGACTGGTGATTCTTGCCTACATGCTCATTGTCTGATCACCAGGAATTGTCTTCCAGGTCAAACTAGCAGAGCCCTTGTTTTTTCTGCTTTCCCCACAACAGAGATCACTTGCTGGTTTGAATTAGAGTCAATGGTGGATTCTCTGTGACTTGAAGTCTTTAAATCACAATTTAAAGACTTCAGTAACTTAACCAGAGATTAGGAATCTGTTACAGCAGTGTGTGGGTGAGGTTCTGTGGTCTGCAATGTGCAGGTCAGACAGGATGATCACAATGGTCCCTTCTGGCATTAAAATCTATGTCTACATTGGGGTGGGAAATAACTAGCTGGACATGGTTCACCAGGGCTGCTGGACATTTTATTTACCTGCATGTCCACAGGTACACTGCTTGCAGCTCCCATTAGCCACGGATCACCGATAACTTTCACCACCTTTTACTTTGCTATAAGTAATTCTATACAACTCAGCATTGCCTGTATGCTAAATGGTTACTAAGGTTTATGAGAAGATGTTAATTACCCACAAGTATCTGAAGGGTAGAAACTTCAAGAGGGAAAGGAACTGTGTTGGGAAGTTCAAGTGATATAAAGGAATCATTACATGAAAGAAGATATAGGAAAATGTAATCTATAAATTAGGAACATTTTCCTAACAAAGAGAGCTTTTGAGGTTAGGGGACAGACTCCAAAAGGAAAGCAGTGGAAACATCAAGTTTTTGGCTCATTTTAAAACTGAAAATAATTGAGTAGTATATGTTGTAAGGCTGTACAGAGGCAGCAGTGCAGAGTGGCAAAAGTCCATCTAGGGGAGAAGGAGGCCTGAGCTCTGGATCCGGTGCAACCCAGAACTGAGCCAGATTGCCTGTCCACCTGACTTCTAATACACTTTAAATGCAGAGCTGCAGCAGGGGGTATCATAGAATCATAGGACTGGAAGGGACCTCAAGAGGTCATCGAGTCCAGCCCCCTGCCCTCAAGGCAGGACCAAGCTCTGTCTACACCATCCCTGACAAATGTTTATCTAACCTGGACCCGGTGCAAGCCGGGACTGAGGAAGGCTGCAGGCCAGCCTGCTAAAAAATTTACTGGCTCAGGAAGAATGTGTGTAGTCTAGAGCATTAATCAATAAGCTTTTGCTTATTGGTTAATTGACTACACTATTACATCCCTAGCACGGTCATTCTTTTTGAGCTCTAATTTCTATGAGCCATAGTCTCCTATTTGTTCTATTGCAGATTTCTTATTAGCTATTTCTCATTAGTCCCTTGAGATCTCTGTTGATATCAAGGGAATAAGTGGAGAACATCTAATAAAGAGCCTCAGGTGTGGCTCAGAGAAGAAAAATTTTAACCTATAAATAGTAAATTTCATTTTCAAATCAATTTATTTGCTAATTCAGGCTTTATTTTCCCCCTTATTTCTGTCTACCTCCCCTTAGGTCCCAATACATTTAATTATATTTTTTACTGCACACGCACAAGTACACACACACACACACACACACACACACACACACACACACACACACACACACACAAAAAGACTATAATATAAGCAGTTTGTGTTTAATATACTTTGTGTGATAATTAAATACATCTCCACTGGATTAAGTAGTGACCTTCCCGAGAGGCCTAATTATTACTTTTAGCCCTTTTCAGGTAGCTATGAATTATACACACTTAAATGATTTTATTTTGTTGGATTATTTTGTTTCTTACATAAACTCTATCACCCAATGGGATAGTTTAGAGATAAAACCAAAAAGCAAAAATAGGCAGCATGTAGAAAATGCACTAATAGTAACAACACACCTACAATTTGCAGTTTGAAGCTGGATCACATTCATATCTGATTAATCTAAAAGCGCTTTCAGCCTAAGGGTGGATGACATAGTTTTATTTGATTTTTGGAGGCAGAGAGATGGGAGTAAAATTGTCAGGGCAAAAACAATTCAAAAACGTATTTGAAACAAAGTGGCTTGTTTAAACATTGCCAACTCAAAGCTCCATGCTAAATATATTTGAAATCTTGCTTTTATTATTTTTCAGACCTGTAGAAAATTGCTCGAATTAAAACCTATGAAAAAATATTCAAGACTTCCTAAAAGACTCAATAGCTCTGAGTGCAAAGGAGAAAAATAAAGCAAAAATAGTGAGACCTACTCTTGGTTCTGCTGTCCATTTCTATTTTCGTTGGCTCCTGAGTTGCTGTAGCTGGAGGTAATTTCTTCCCAACAGTCTGAAATAAATAAATTATTCTTCTTTAAACCTTTATTTTCCCAGTTAGAGCTTTAGCAACAATGCAGAAATCATTATAAAAAAAGAGCGGGGAATTACATAAAAGGGGACATGGACAACTCACAATAGTCAGTCTGCAAGAGATTGAGGGGTGGGGGAGAAAAAAGAAAAAGGTAAAAAGATTTCAAAGTAATATTTCTACCCTAAATACCCCCTACCAATTATTGTGATATTTAGTCACATTTTCTTACTTTACAAAATATTTTCCTCTTCAATGTTGCTGTATGAAAGACCAACAAAACCAGAATGGGTAAACAGATTATAAAAGGAAACTGACTAGTAAAAAGTGCTGCTAAATAAAAGAATCTATAATTTCCTTCTATCATAATTGTATTAAGTGTAACAAGCAAACAAATTTCACACATCAATGTGCCTTTTAAGTTGACGGTGACCCTTTTTATCATTTTGAGTAGAAATATTATCTAGTTCACCAAGCAGTATAATAATGTAGCATCATCAGGAGTAGACAGCTAACCTTAAGGAACAGCACAACCATTGTCTTTTTCACTGACAGCAATCTCTTTATAGGTCCATTATTTTAATTCTGTAAATATATTATTCTGACCCACAAGAAAGTTATTCCCCTGGAAAGTCTTGTAATATCTGTGGTCAAGCACCTGTCTACTTTTATTATTTGTATAACCATGGCACCTAGTCATGGGCCAGAACCCTAATGTGCTATGACAGTGGTTCTTAACCGATTTATCATTGTGGGACGCAGGTTGAGAAACTCTGTGCCAGACAGACTCTGGCCTACCCAGCACTTCACTGACAATGTGCCCCTTCCCTGGGCACAGGCCCCTGCCATGTGCCACATCTGCCTGCCTGTCTGAACCCCTCCCCCGACTCCTGTGCCCAGTGTCCTCCTACAAAGATCCCTCCATAGACCCCTATATGCCCAGCTGCCCCTGCCCAGAGATGACTCCACAGAGTCCCAGATACAAAGCCAGGAGTGAAGGCCTTTGTAAAACCTGAGGGTGCTGGAAGAGCCCCCAAACTTCTAGCTCCTCTGCCTATGCTGCCCAGCACCCCGCGCAACAACCCTTTATCCCCTCACTACCAGAGCCACCCTCCACAGCTCCCTGACCATACTCACCAGCCCCCCAGGATTTGACTGTGTCTGGATTGCTCAGGTGCGATCAGCCAGGCTGGAGCAGGAGCAGCGCTGGGATCATACAGGATCTACTTGCCCAGCAGGGCTGCCTGCACTGAACTGCTGAGCTCTTCCCTTGCCACAGGAAGCTGCTTAGCCTTCCCTGGTGGCAGGAGTCCTCCAGCAGGGCGGCCTGATGCTGTCTCCCACTCACTCAGCCCCACCCTGTCAGACTGGAGCAGCAACTTTTGGATTTTTTTTTAAAGCACATAGCTCGGCTGCAGCTGTTTGCTAAATGGGCCACAGGTTGAGAACCAGCACGTGAGGTGCTGTACAAACACAAAACAAAAAGACAGTCCCTGCCCCAAAGAACTTTAAGTCTAATTATAAGACAAGAGACAACGGATAGATGCAGACAGATGATGCAGTAAAACGACGAGATAATAAATATTGCTTTGCAAGGCAGGCAGTGACATTAGAGCACCAACAGCTTAACCATGCTTTAGTGGCCGTATGGAGCGTGTTGGGGAGGCTAATGAGGGAGTTTGTGGGTTTTTAAGATTTCCTCTCATGGAGGAAGGGTAGCATGGCAATAGCAAAAAGATTGTTTTTGCTTGTTTGAAAATTTAACAAGCGGGTTAATGTAGGCTGGCATCCTGGGCTGATCGGAGCCAGGAGTTAACATTTTGGCACGGAATGAGAGATGCTAGTTGTGGGGGGGATAGGCCATGAAGGGCCTTTGAAATAAAGGCAAACAAGCTTGTGTTTGGTACAGTAGAGCAGGGAACTCAAAGAGAGGGTTGATGTCACTGAAGTGTCAGGTTAGGAATATGATCCTTGTAGCAGCAACACTTTGAATCGGTATTAATGATGCAACATTGCATTTGTCAAGGCCAGAGACAAGGATATTGCAGTAACCAAAATGACGAAAGCATGGATGAGAGTTTTTTCTGTAGGGATGGCTAGGAAAAGCTATATCATAGAGATGTTATGTTAAAAGGATTTGCAAGATTTAGACAAAGACTGGGCACAAGAAAATAGAGAGAGGTCTGAGTTGAAGGTGCCAAGGTTACTGATCCGAGTTACAGGTTGGATGGTGGTATTGGCCCACATGCTTGAGAAAAGAAGTGCTGGGGAGGACTTGGGGGGAAATTAAGAGCTCAGATTTGGCTCTGTTGTTGTGCCAGAGCTGATAGCCACACATTCTTGAGAAGTAGATCTGTCAGTCACTAGGCACAGAGATGGTACCTGAATTTGTCTGTGGTTGAGATTGTCCAGTTACTAGGTGAAGAAGAAAAAATGGGGGCAGAGAAAATACGCTGGAGGGGGAAATGAGGCAGCTTCGCCAAAGGATACACTGAAAGATCAGTTGGAGAGCGAGGATCAGAACCAGGAGAGGACTGTCATAGAAGCCAAGGGAGGAAATGATTTCAAGAAGAGGAGCATGGTTCCCTGTCTGGAGGAGAGCAGACAGATCAATAGGATGAGGAGGGACAGCTGGTTCAGAGCTTTGGCTAGGACAAGTTCATTAGAGACTCTGACAAGAGCAGTTTCAGTGCACTTCAATGTGTAGAAGACAGACTGGAGATGGTCCTGGACAGAACTGGAAGAAAGGAATTGTATAGAATAATTGCAGATGATGTATTCAATGGGCTGAGAAATTAAAGGGTAGTAGTTGTAGAGGCAAGTGGGGTGAAGAATGGCTACAAACATCACCACACACTTAGAAAAGTATATATTACTGTATCAAAACCTTATTGTGATACTCTGACAACTAAATACAGGCAGTCCCCGACTTACGCGGATCCGACTTAGGTCGGATCCGCACTTACGAACGGGGCTCTCTCGCCTCGGAGGTCGAGGTGGCGGATTGCTGCCTGCGAGCTCCGGGGCGAGAAAGCCCCGTTCGTAAGCTGCTCCCGGTGCCCCTGGTCTGCTGGAGACTGTCTCCAGCAGACCAGGGGCACCGGGACTGAAGCCGCAGCAGCGAGGCTTTGCTACTGGACCGTCCCCAGCAGACCACAGGCACCGGGACTGAAGCCTGAAAAAGAAGGAAGAAGTCTCTGGGAATTGGAAGAAAGCCCATACTCTCATTGGCCAACTACAAAACTTGGTTGTAAGTGCTGTGGACACTCTGAAGAATGTACATACACACTTCACAGGACAAGTTGTTTAATAATTTGTAAATTTTAATTTTCTAGCTCTGGTGACCTGTACGTTATCTACCCTTTGTTCACTATTTCATCTCCGCCTCAGTACATTGGTCAGAAGGACTAAAGATTACTGTGTGAGTGGTTGCGGCACAGAAACTTGCTGGCCAAAACTGTGCTGTACTATTTTCATTGTAGCTGAAATCAAACTAGCAACAACTGTCTTTTACACATAGTTGTACTGGAAGTTTTCTAGCTCTGCAGGAAACATGGATGGGTATTTTTTCCCATTAGAAACTATGATATTGACTGTCATGGGTTAGCATAAACAGTGTTTAAAATTGGTTGTTGTGAGATAATAGGTTAAATTATAGAAAAAAGCTAAATGATAATTAGAATTGAGGTTTCTTCCCAGCTCAGCCACTGAAATCGTGATCTTGGGAAAATCGCTTGACTTCTCTGTTTCAGTGTTCACCGCCATCAAACTGATATAATACTGACCTTTCTGAATGTTTTCAAACCACTGACTAAATACATAATTTTAAATCAATATTATTTTGCTAACTTAATTTCAGATAATATTAATTGGGGCCTTAATGCACACCCACCATCAGGAGGTCTGGCGGTCAGTTTCAGCAGCGGCTGAATCTGGACGCCAGTTCCGACTTACATACAGATTCAACTTAAGAACAAACCTACAGTCCCTATCTTGTACGTAACCCGGGGACTGCCTGTATGCACCATTATCATGTAACTGCGATACGTTTTGCACAAAGTACACTTTGTGAGGTATCATTCTAAAGTTTTGATCTGCTAGACATGAATGTCTTGTTGTATGTGCTACCATTTTATGTGAAGTTACGAAATTTGGCTTGATATGTTACTGAAACATGTTGTGAGGTTGAAAATACCTACAACCAGCCTTTCAGGTACAACAGTAAAAAGGACAAACAATGTTAACGACTATCAGAAGAAATGCACAAACACAAGGATTAGCTCAGAAATGGTGTACATTAAAAACCTCTGAAAGATATCACTACACAGTGGGAAGTGTCTGATTCAAGTCATAACAAAAGTACTTTCCAGCAAGTGGGAAGCAGCTTTAAAAAGGGGACATTGACATCACTGGGGTACCTCATTCTTCCTGCAAGACACTGGGAAACATCTGATGAACAAGGATTTAACTATCAGAAGTGATGGCCCCAGGCTAGAAGGACTGTATTCCTGTCTATGAAAAACTGGAAAAGTTAAGACAGCTTGTAATTTAAGAATCTGCCAGCTTGTTTATCCCTCATGGTGAGAATTCGTTAATGGATATCCTATCTATTTTATCTAGTGTGTGAAGCTTAGTCTGCAAGCTTTGTTTATTTACTAAGGTAATCAGTTTTGATCTATTTTCGGTCACATATAATCACTTAAAATCTACCTTTTGCAGTTAATAATCTTATTTCTTATTTATACTATAACCTAGTTTGTGCAGTTCACAAGGCGGGGAGGCGGAAGAGCTGTGCACATCTGCCTCCGCATTGAGGGAGAGGGTGAATTTCACATGCTCGCGCTAGGTAGATCTCTTTACAGCACAAGACAATATAATCCTGGGTTTCATTCCAGAGGGTGTAGTGGGCTGGGTAATTCCCCAAGTGAAGAATCTGTGAGATTCTGTTGCTGGTTGTGTCCTTACCCATACGTGTGCGCACG